CCCGGTTCAGCGGACCGGCAGTCCGGTCCAGACCAGTTCAGACCGGCTGGACCGGTTCAGTCAGTATTTGTCAGTTTCAGTCCCGGTTCTCAATTTCAGTGTCATTTTCAGTTAAAATTCTGGGTTCAGTTCAGCTCAGTTAATTTATATTAGTTCAGTTTCGTACTTAACCGGTTTCAGTTATACCGATTAAGTCCGAGTATCATGTCAGGGTCAGTAGAGCATCTTAACATAATTAATCAGTTAAATTATCAGTCTGAGCATAGTCAGTAGCAATTGTTTATATTATTTTCAGTTTGATCAGGCATCAGCACTACCTTCAGTTTTAGCAGTTCAGGTGGGGACTCAGACTAACTACTACATTGATTATAATATCGCTACCATGTTTGAGGTATGTATATTCAGTATCCGCTCGGAATGGTCACCGGTCCATTCTGGGTTCTAGTGGCCTAATCTGCCCACTAGAGTGTGCACATGGTCCGGTATTAGTTTGTGCCGGCTGATTTCGGTATTAGTTTGTGCCGACAGATGTTCAGTTATCAGTTACGTGACTTATGTCGCGAGATCAGACCGGTATCAGATATCAGTTTCAGTTTCAGTTTCAGTTCAGTTATATATTCCAAGATCATGATATTGTTATTATTTTCAATGTTTACATTAGTATGAGTTTCTGCGGAGCACAAGTGTTTTAGTGCTCACGCCCCCACACATTTCATGTTTTTTAGGTCGCAGGGTCGGGGACCAGGAGTGAGCTGGCGGCAGTTCAGGATATTTTGTGGATATGTATATATGTGTTTTGCCACGCTTTTATTCCGCTAAACTTTCAGTACTTAAACTCAGTTTTGATCCGACGCTAGTCGGTTAATATATTATAACCGTTTTCAGTTTTATCATTTAACGGTTTTCAGAAAAGTCAAGTTTTCACGGTAGCATCCCGAATCAGTTTTCGCAAAAATTAATATTTTATTTTATTATTCATAAAAATTGCAAAAAATGCGTACTCTGATAGTATTAAAAAGTCGGGATGTTACAATTGGTATCAGAGCACGTTTCTGTGTCTCTGAAAAGTTTTTCAGTCAGTAATTTTCAGAAAAACCTGA